CCTGTAAATATCAGACAGGGTGAACTCAGACTTAACAGCTAACTCGTATCTCCACAGTTCAGACTGGCCCTTTGTGGCACTGAAGGAGACATTTGTTAAGCTAATGAATATGTTCCCACAGTCATTGAGCTGACCGATTAATGTGTGCATCAGACAATGCAACGTCACAGAATCTTAAGCAATCATCATATGCCACATTGAGCTTATGTATGTGCTCATCTCTTTTGTAGTTTACCCACAGACGTGTAATAGTTTCAGCACCAACACCCGCATGTGCGACATCAGAGTCTGTAAATGTCCATGTATTCTCCTTTGATTGTTATGTTACTGTGAGATCGTTGCCACATTATGCATACTATATGCATACAAATCAATACTTGCAGACAACTGTGAGATACTGTGTCCAGTACAGTAGTATTTTTTCCTGATAAGTGTATTTTACTCATGATTGGCAACATCAGGGACCATACCAAATAAATTAAATTTTGAGGCAATGTAAAGAAGTCCCTGTTATGATATACTGCATTATGCAGTGTCAATTATGATTTGATGATGTTAGTTATATTGTTTGACTTGAATAATACATCAATTAGATACTCAAAAAGTCCAATATCATTTGTTCTCCGTTTTTATAAATATACCCCTTGATGCACAGTTCTCCATTTGAAATTGTCCCATTCTGTACAGTCTCAAGACTTCCTGCTGTCTTTGTTTTATTTGCTGAATTGTTTGTCTAAACATGTGAGCTCAGGCACGTGCTTGTTATGGATCTCACAAGTAGATTGCGATCTACCGGCCTTTTGAGTTTTGGCACAGCTAGGTGCCGGGCAGAGGGGGCAGTGAGTGAAAGTGCACTTCCACTACAGTTGAGCAGGCCAGCAGACGGGCAGGCAGCAGCGAGCTAACTCATTAGCATTTTTAACATTCCTCTGCAGCAAACCTTCGCTTCACATGTCCTCATTACTCAAAACCCTAAACTTGCAACTTGTTTCAACAATCTGACATTTTGTCATAGCAAGCAATACTACTAAAGGATTTTGGCAAAATGTCTAATGGCATTATTTTTGATAAATATTGATTTAGAAATGCAGGTTTGTATTTTATTCTTGTATGCTCTATGCTTGTGTTTGTATTGGATTATCTAGTTCATATTAAAAACTTACAATGATGACTAAGTATGTCATAAGTATTAGCCATGTAGTCCTCAAACTACTTATAATTCATATATTTAAGTGCACCCATACTGGTCAATACTTCAGCTAACAAATGTTTTAAGCATACATATTTGAGATTATTTTAAATAAAAGTTTAATTGAAGTATTTCTAAAGCAGTTGCTTATTATGCTTCTTTGCTCTGCACAAAAATCCCTTATTGCTGGGAGGCAAGCGGGTAAAAATGTAAATTGCAATAAATTACAAAATCAATATTTATATCGACCTGTTAGAAGAACCTTGTATATTACAACACTCTTAAGTCATGGTTTTCTACAATATACAGATTTGTTCTAAGCTTTCACAATGATTACATCACATGAATAATGACTGTCTTGAAAGATATTGACATGTCACGTTTTTCCACTGAGGGATTTCTTGATAGGTTTCTGAACTCCTCCACTTGATAAGTGGACCACCAAAGCTGTTAGCAGTGTAATTAGCTCCCCCAGTTTAAGTGGCCTTACTCGGACAATGATTCTCATTGTTGAATCCAAGGTCCAGTCTAATGACACCTCTGGGAACAGCACCTTGTTTACTATTTCCAACTATAAGCTAGTTGAAGTGCTTCAAGTGCCATTTATCTTGCCTTCTCTCCCATATAACCCGCTAAATCTCAGTGTAAGACTTGAGTAGGAAAGATTGCTTAGTCCAGAGATGCCAAACCGACCGTGATGGGAAAGAATATACTCTGGCAGATCTCCAGTAGTGTCTTCTTGTGTAGGAGCTATGATGGAGATGTACTTTGCCACTGCTTGACTCACTGAACTGTGCTACTGAAAAGATAAGCTCAACAAAAGCGAACAACGTAGAGACAAATGAAAATGTATAGACGCCACCCGTTGGAAAAGTCCTCGGAATTCACTTGGTGTAGGCCTCATGTGTGGGGGCAGAGGCATTGTCGGATCGTATTTGTGTGTCATTGTGCGGTGCCACTTGTGTACAATGTGTGCAACATGCACATTAAAGACTTTACAGCAGGAACGGCAGACTTTGTCTCAACATGCCCCATGCAGATCTTCATTACCTTCTCTGTTGAAAATAGAATACATGCCCTTTGGCTAGGGCCAACATGTTCTAGTGTTGTGATTTAGGGATATACAAAAATACATTTATCTTAATTAACTATACTGTGTTTGAAAAATGTGATTTATTTGACCAAAAAAATTAATTAATTAATTAATTAATTAAATTAAAATATTAGTATTTGGAAGTCTCAGTTGTGTTCAATGTGCACATTACAGACCCCTCCAGTGGCAAAGATATTTTGGAAAGATACTGTAATTTTGTAAATAACATCTTCCAGATCACTTGACATTTTCTTCCATGTTTTCCAAATGACATTGGCTCAATGGTCTCAGCTCTCACCTCTGATGCCTTAACTTTTTATTCAGTCAAGCTTTCTACAGGCTCTTGACACACAGCAAAAACAGTGCCAGGTAGTTATCAAAAGCCTCAGTGTGTAGTCGAGGGGCCTCATCTTGCCCATGTCTGGACAGAGGGCTCTTTGTGCTTGCTGCCCAGCCGGTCCTTACAGCATTGAGATTAGAAGACGAGGGGAGACCATGGGCTAAATTGTGGGGTGCTTGTCTGAAAGCCAATGGTGTCAGCCAAACAGTGGCCCAGCTCCTTTCAACCCAGTGGTAATTACAAGATATTAGGCCCATCCTCTGGCTCTGGTTGGACTTTGGAAACACTTGTTAAATGCACTGGGAACTCTATTCCTAATGTGTTTGAAAACATAGGACCAAAAGTGCACCAAAGGCACATTTATAGAGCTCAGCATTGCAATCACGGCCCACCTCAGCAACTTCAGTAAATGTCTGCATTATTTACAGTTTGAGATAATATTTACCTGGATTCTTCCATTATAGCAGACTGACCCTGTATTTTTATGAACTTAAATTAAAAAAAAAGCCCTATTTTTGGCTTTTTGCCAATAGAACAATTTCAGAACATTGGAAAAATCTAACTTTGTTACATCATCAAACTTCCAATATTAAAAAAATACATACTGTTGTTGATTTGAGAGCCAAATAATTGCCCAACTCATTTTAAAACAGTTTGAAACTGTATGAAAAATACAAGCTTGATCATGCAGATAATTACCTACTATATATATTTGAGATATGAGGCCTTGAACACACGTTCAGAATGTCTGGGCTGTAGTATACTGACTTTGATTTCATCATGCCATCATTTTATGATCCTTATAAGGCATTATTAGTGAATGTTTGCAAAATAACCTTTGGCATGCACACCAGACATTTTTATGACTTCAGGGTACATCTGCCTCTGTCTCAGTCAATGCAATGATTATGCTCTGTCAGTGTGCTGGCTTTGTGTCTGAACATGTCCCTGTTTGCTTTCACACTTAACAACATACCATAATAACACTGATACCTTTATTGGTGGGCTGCTACCACATCTCACCCTATCGGTCTATTCTTGAGGTTAGATTAGAATCACAAATACTGAACATTTCTGGAACTATATTTGTTCAACAAACAAGCTTTCTGACGTGGTCCTAAATGAATGCTTAAGTTACAGAGAATGGATGTACAGTAGTAAGCTTTTCTGGTCTCTCTCTTTGGCAAAATCAAGGTTTAAAATGTCCTAAGTTTATTAAGTTTATTATAACCGTTCAACTGATTATCATCCGGGCTGATTTTTGGCATTTTGGGGATTTTTAATGATCAAATTGTTAGTCTGCTTCAGTAGATCGAAACAACAATGTTACAACTCAAAAAACCGAAAACATTTATTGGTCTGTACAACACAAGTGCTGTGTCACATGTTGTTACACAGTTGCCTGAACAAAGCACTCTCCGTTTTGTTTATTTTGGTCAAAATTACCTAAAATAGCAGGACAAACAATAGTTTTTTTTTGGTTTTCTATTATCATTATTTTGTGTTGACGCCAATATTTTCATTTCTGCAGATTTATATTGGCTCTATAACTTAGTCTAACAATATGAGAACTATTTGCCATGTTTTTTATAAACAATATTGACTCTACAAGAACACTCCATCTCGTAAGACAGTGTTTCTGGAATGGATTCTGCGATTGTGAAGCCTGGACTGTGGAGCTGTCACAGTCCACGGTTTCAAGTGTCTAATATGATCACAGCCTTGACCGGGCAGAACTGACTGAGCCTTAATCTCCTACAATGCCTCACTGCCAAATTGGCCTGATTTGTCAAGCAAAGGATCATCACCCACTTTCCCAATGAATTTCAAAGGGCCTTTTGTTTTTGATGTGTCGTTTGAATAGTTTACAATACATTTCATACATGTCTGAATTACAACTTTAATTCATCTTCAAGCGGAATTGTTTTTTTGTGTCAGACATCTGTAGTAGAATAAAGTAAAATGTTTGACTAAATCAGTGATGGGTAATGATAATGGTGTTCAAGTTGCCCATTTATCAACTTAATTCATATTCTTCATGATTTAGTTTGATTATCTATAGTCCAAAGTGTCCCAGGGCCCATTCAATATTAACACTGTCTATGTTTTGTTGACTCATGTTCTCTTGGATTTGTATTGAATTATGAACCAAGGCCACTTACGGTTTGACAATCAAAAATGTGTGACACTATATTTCTATATATATATGTTTTGACCCACAGGCCAAAATGTATCTTTGAGCCCAGGTTTAGCCCTTTGGTTAAGAATCGAACTGCTCTAAACAAAATTAGGCAAAGCATTAGGCAACCAGCTTGTTTTCCAATTAATAATCAATTCAATTAATCGAATTAACAAACTTTTTATCTTTTTATTTTCAGGAATAAAAAGGACACATCTACAATGGCACAACAGCAACACAGAAGATGCAGTAAGCAGAGTCGAAGACAGAGGAAGTGAGTCGTCTGATCTCTGATGAACAATCTACCTGCTCCAGGCGTCAGGGAGGACCATGTTTACCTAAAGCCAGCCATGTATTTCTGAGTGCCTTGAGGTCTGGCACCAGATGACCAGCTTAAAGCTCACACCAATGGAGCGCACTGTCGGGGGCTCGGTCCCTGCCACGGATGAGTTTTACAGCCGTCATCTCCGTATGGTCAACGGTGCTGCGGTGCACTCACATGGGGACAATCCTCAGACCACTGCAAGTCCAGGAGTACCAAAAATGGGGGTACGTGCCCGAGTGGCTGATTGGCCCCCTCGGAAAGAAGTCACAGCTCCAATGTGGCACTCGGGTACAGATTCTGAAAACTCTGGCGCATCAATCAAAAGTCACATTAAGTCAGGCCATGTAATGAGTCCGCAGGACTCGTCAATGCTGCGAAACATTCATAACACTTTAAAAAACAGAACTCAGATCCAAGCAAACAACTACAGCTCCGATACCCGTTACCTGGTCCCGGTAGAGCATCGCGGCCCTACACATAGAAACCCGAGACAAAGAAGAAATCGCCAGCGCAGCAACAGTGACATGGCTATAGGGGAAATGGAGGCCAGTGGGGACAGTGGTGATGAGTGGAGTCCAACAACAGGAGCCAAACTGTCCCCTTTTCACCGCAACTATGGTAGCACCTCCTCCATTGACCAGCATGGGCTCTCTGGAGAGAGCTTCTTTGAAATGCTCAAGGGGTATCAAGAAGACAAGATGGACCAACGAAGTCCTGCTCCAGACAAACTGGAGGACATACTGAATGTTGTAACTAAACAGTCCCTCATAGAGCTTCAGGAAGATGTTCCCGACGGCTTGTATTCCAAATCTAAAGACAAGCCCCCCAAGAGGCGAACAAAATCAGAGACAGGCGGTGAGTCCATATTTCGTAAACTTCGAAGTGTGCGTGGGGAACTGGACTCTCCTCGAGCCGGATCAGAAGCAGATGAAAGCCGGACAGATGATTTGGGCCCACCATTTAAACCTTGGGTTTGTCAGAAAGGTTTTTCCCACTATGATGTTCAGAGCATACTGTTTGACCTTAATGAGATTGCCCAGATGCTTCAAACTGCAGTCAAAAGAAAAAACACCACCACAGGAGCATCAGCAGCTGCTGTGGCATCAGCCACCTCCACCATCTCCTCCACCCACAGCTTGCCTTACAGCTCCCCCAGTGGAAGCCAAGAGGAGCTTAACTCCAGGGACAGTCCTGGGCTGGACACAGGGTATGAACAGAGCAATGAAATGCTACTGAGTTGTCCTTGTTTCAGAAATGAAATAGGCACAGATGTAAATGGCCGGTGCCGGCCAGAAACTGATGAACTTGTGTATCATGGACTTGTTAACACTGGCGCAGAGAGCAGTGCGGAGGGAAGCCTGTATGAAACATCTGTGACACCACACTGCACAAATGCAGGAGTTGCAGTCCTCGAGGGTCCAAAGGAGGGACCCAGCTCACTCAGTGACAAGGGCAAACAGTACATTGTGGAGCATGTGGACTTAGGAGCCTACTATTACAGACACTTCTTCAATCTGAGGGGTAAGATTTAATCACCACTACGCCCAAAATGTAAATCTTAAATCTTAAATATATACCTTGTATTACTCACATATGTCTTTCCTTTTCTTGTTTTCTTGTAGAGCATTGGAACTACTTTGGCATAGATGAGACACTTGGACCAGTTGCAGTGAGTTTGCGGAGGGAGAAGATGGAGGAAGACAAGGAACATGGCCAGCAATATAACTACCGCCTCATCTTCAGAACCAGTGAGGTTGGGAATATTCATTTACCCCTATTTTATTCTCATTCTCTCTGTTCCCCATTCAATCTTATAATTACAAAAATACATGCATTCTTCTGTTCCATTATGAATAATTGAAATATCAATATTGATCCACATTTTCTCTCATAGTACTTAAATAATAAATGAGTGGACACTAGAGGAGTGAGGCCTATGTAATTTGTAAAGGTGGAATGACAGACTACTTATCATTACACCCAGTTACACCACTAACCTACACACACATGTCTTATTCTCTTGTTCAGCTGACAACTCTACGGGGTTCTATCCTCGAAGATGCAGTGCCTTCCACATCTAAGCACGGTTCCAGTCGAGGGCTGCCTGTCAAAGATGTACTCGAATACCTTCTTCCAGAACTGGACCTGTCCTGCCTTAGACTTGCTCTCAACACCCCCAAGGTGACGGAGCAGCTATTAAAACTGGATGAACAAGGGGTATGAGATCAAATCAATATTTCATCACTTGCTGCTTTTGTTTCAGTTTTGACGTTTTTTGTTTTTTGTTTGTTTTTTGAACATATAATCATGTTTTAGCTGAGTTTCCAAGTGAAGGTTGGGGTGATGTACTGCAGAGCGGGTCAGAGCACAGAGGAGGAGATGTACAACAATGAAACCGAAGGACCTGCCCTGGAAGAGTTTCTCCATCTGCTGGGAGAGAAAGTCCGCCTTAAGGGCTTCACCAAGTACAGAGCTCAGCTGGACACAAAAAGTAATCAAGTAACTCATGTGTTAATGTAATGTAAAGATGGAGACTTCACAGTGCTGGGTGATAGGCGCAACAAGTCATGTGGGTGTCACTAAACATGTAAATGAAGGTTTACATTTTTAGAATTTAATCAACACATTTTCCTTTATTGAGAGTGTTGTGTTAAAGATCAGCTGTGAGAGACTTTCAATTTTGGGTCTCTCATAATTTTAAAATTTTGAAACCTCAAAAACAGATATTTTAAAGCATGTCTTAGTGCCGATGGTGCCCTATAATGACCAGTAACAGTATTTTCTTTCTTATGGCCATTTTATATCTTTAGGAGCAGATAGACATTTTTTATTTTAATAATATTATCAGGATTTGTTAGTTAACTTAAGGACAAGCTTTTACGACATTTTCAGTAAACCTTAAAAATGGGGGAAGGGATTCGGATCATCATTTGGATCCAAGAATTTCTTTGTGGACTGGTGCTGTGTCTCTTGTTTAGAGGCATAGTACCTCTAGAAGTGTCCCAATCATGACACAATGTGGACAGGTTCAAGGGCTATGAATCCTTTTGCGAGGCACTGAGTATGGTAACTGTGATCTTGACGAGACTGTCATTCCTCCTGTCTTCATTGTGTAATTGTGTTTCTGGCCAAATTGAAATGCTTTCCAAAGACAGATGGCAGTAATGATGATACAGGGTGTCTCAAAAGTGTTCTGTTGTTTTTCCTCCAGCGGACTCCACCGGCACTCACTCCCTGTACACTACCTACAAGGACTATGAGCTCATGTTCCATGTTTCAACCCTGCTGCCTTACACACCCAACAACAAGCAACAGGTAAAACTGAGATTCTTCTGCATATGGCCAGGCTCAGGAAAGACAAAACCCTATTATTGGAAAACCAATGTGAATATGGAGTTTGAAAAGAAAAAAATAATGTAAATGCCGTTTGACTGCTGTTTGATGAAAAAAAAAGTATTGGTTTTATACATGGTTTGTTAGCTCTTTTTTCAGACACTCAAAGACGGTTCACATGTTATTATTCTTTCACTCCATACAAGGTGGTGATAAATTACTACTGTTGCCACAACTGCCCTTGGGCACACTGACAGAAGCAAGGCAACCAGTATGTGCAATCGGCCCCTCCGACCACCACCAACCATTCACACATACACACTCACACACACACACACCAGACTCATACTAGGCAACTGTTGGGGAAGTGTCTTGCCTATGGACACAACAACATTATCGCACTTTAAAGCTGCAGCTGCCCCATTATGGCACCTGGTGTTCCCAGAAGTCTCCCATCACAGTACTAACCAGGCAATAATTAGACTCCCTTTCATGATTGGGTCCAATGATTTCATTTGTTATAATGCATAGGTGAAACTCGAATTTTGTTCAGAAGTCAGTTTACTTGATCTAACCTTACCTAAGGTTTACTTAACTTAAAATCTGAAACTAGCATAGGATCTAGACAAGTCTCGGGGTTAGGGTATATATACATATGTATATTTGACCTGACAGTGATAAGTATTTTTTTTCCACATTGATTTGTAGTATACCATTTGACTAATGTGAAACTAATGTATCACATTAGTTTCACATTTTAAGTTGAATTACTGAAAGAAATGTACCTTTTGAATTATAATATAATTTTTAGAGTTTCACCTGTACATGTCACAAATGAATGTTTTAATCAATGCGTGTATAACAGAGGTGCTGTTGTCGTTCCAGCTGCTACGGAAGCGGCACATTGGGAACGACATCGTGACAATCGTCTTTCAAGAGCCTGGTGCTCACCCTTTCACCCCCAAGGCCATCCGCTCGCATTTCCAACATGTCTTCATAATTGTCCGCGTTCACAACCCTTGCTCGGACAGGACATGCTACAGGTGAGTGGCTGAATAAATGTATTTTTTGGTTGGCTGAGAGACATATCGTCTCTAAAACTAGGCCTATTCTTGTCTCGTGTCAGTGCCTTCAGTATGTCAGGGAATAAGAACAATACAAGAGAGTGTTTGAACTCCTGACCCTACACTGAAAAGCTCCATGAGCCACTGAGCTTTCTGTTGGCAGTTGCCATTAAGTTAAAAGCATTGTCTCGGAGGCATGTCTTGGAAAAGAAGATTTTTTGTTTGTCCTAAATTCATACTGTACTTTGTGTATGTGTGAGCATGTGCAATTTATTTGATTGTGTCTGAAATTAGTCTTGACATTTAGCACAACACACTACAAAAAGTGATGAAAAAATAAGTAAAAAAATCTAAATTTGAGTGCATTTTGACTGCTGTAAAGCAAGATTTGCCAATTGGACAAGCAAAATGCACAAGCATTTTTTCATGCACATTTGCGCACCCGTATACATACCAATCACACTAATTGACCCTGAGCCTTACGCCTCACACAGTCAGAAAATAGAAGGATTCTTTCCTTCTTCGTGTCGTCATCCACTGCCTGCCACTTTGCCTTTGGGCGGCATGAGTCCAAGTGGTCTGAAGGAGTTAGCGCCATGAACATGAAGTGCTCCCCTCAGCCTGGCGTTCATGTGAGCGAGGAGCACTGTTTGGAGAAGTCAGTCAGTAGATCAGACTGAGCTGAGGACGAGTCGGGCCGGGCCTTCTGTTTGCACCTCGCAACCGTCTCCAATTTAGGCGAATTTAGATCAAGACCTGTGTCACTTTGGTGGCCGCTGAGTGAGCATCCCAATAGAGACCGTCAACCGCACTTGGATCTGTATTTTGCTCGAAGGATATGTTTGCTCCATTGTTGAACAGATTTTTATGGGAAAGGTGAAATGCTGGTTCTCCTGGTTTGCCTTGCAGATGAAATTGAGAGTTGCAGGATACCGAATCCTTAAGGATAGTCTAGTTACTCCACCCATCTTACAGATTCTTCAGCTACAATTTGAGTGCTGTCCTTTAGTGATGGGGGAGCTTTGAGACAGAACAATTAAATCAGCGCTGCAATGAAGAACTTTGAAGCGTTGAAGCAACTTTGCAAACATTCCTCTTTAGGTGTATTTTTGTTGTGGAAATGTTCGACCTCTGGTGAAGACTAGGTGAGTTATTGCTGATATTATTATCATAGCATTGCTGTTTGTGTATTTGTGTTAGTATGGAGTCAGTGACTGTTACATTGAACTGTGGTTTAACTGTGAATGTCACTCTGTAGAGCTAAAGTTTTGTTCGACATGCTTAGGTGTATCTTTCACAAGCTTATATCACACTCCACAACATTTTAGCTGAGTCTAATGCTCAATATAAATTGTGAGTAGAGAGATTTTGCAATATTCTGTATCGTAGCACTAACAACACACACTTTATAGTAAGATACTTCTTCCACATTAAAATATGCTTTATCAAATGTTAATAATATGTTGTTCCATTCTAGATCATTCTGTGAATTGTATGAATAATCTCTGCATATTGGATTAACTTGAGTTATTCTGATAATTTCATACTGTTGAGCCGAAAGCCTCCCGTGCCTTATTGCGTAATATCTTTTGTTTATGAAATGATGGCTGTGCATGCTATTGCTATAGGCTCAGTTCTGCATGGGAACTAGGTTGTCAGCTTTGATTGGATGTATGGTATTTATAAACCGGGTGAAGTCGGCCATGATTTCAAAGATTCCTGCTATGGTTGCTGGAGCCGTTATTTGTGCAATGGACTGGATATGGATAAGTTGTCAGGAGTGTCGCATCCGCTCATCTTAAATCGTTCGGAGGTTTACAGCCACAAGACTGGAGCATATACATCCATTATATAGATTTATGAATACGATAGTCTTTTAGCAGTTGGAAGTGGCAGAGACACTACAATGAGATCATTCTTGTCTTCTTGAGATACAAACATGTTTCAGACCTTATTTAAGTTTCCCACATGCCACAGGTAAGACAGAAAATGTATTTACCCATTTACTTATTTATAGTAATTCAATTCTTGCTCAGTCTTTGTGCTGGACTGAATAGGAGCACTGGAGAGTAACAAGAGCAGCACTTTGCCCGTAGGAATTTGCACGCCCTCTTTTATACGAAATGAAAGAGGTCAAAGGGAACATTACCTCCCACACTTATTTCTTTTTATGTCCCCTGTCTTCAAAATTACCCTTTTATTTTGCTTTTTCAGTGGAGTAATTCATCCTTTATTGGTAAGGGTGCACAATTTGTTGTAAACTTGTGAAAGCGATTGAATTTACATATTCACTGTTTTGTTTAAATGTTAGTATTTTATATTGTGCGTATAGTGGTTTAAACAATATGTGGTTTGACAAGTGTTATTAAATGTATCTGATTTGAAATGATAGTGATGTATAACTGAATATATATAACCTATTGTTTAACATTTGCTCAAAAACCAGGTCATCTTTCAAGACGGCTTAGACTGCTTTCAAAAAGATTCATGAATTAATTAAATGCTGCTAAATTGTGTGAAATCATGTATTCTAGTTTATTCGTTTGGCTGTTTGTCATTATAATTAGTTTTGTCTTTTATTTAGTGTGGCGGTGACCCGTTCCCAAGACGTCCCTTCCTTTGGACCACCCATCCCTAAAGGCGTGACATTTCCTAAATCCACGGTCTTCAGGGACTTCTTGCTGGCGAAAGTCATAAACGCTGAAAACGCAGCTCACAAATCAGACAAATTTGGTGCAATGGCAACACGCACTCGGCAGGAATACCTCCGGGACCTAGCAGAGCGTCATGTCACTAGTACTCCTGTTGAACCTACCGGAAAGTTCCCATTTATTTCACTGGCACACAAGCGGCGGGAGAAGACTCGGCCATACAGTGGTGCAGAGCTCAGGAGCCTGGGAGCCATCACCTGGCATGTTCACGCTGAAGACCAAGTGGCAGGATCTGAACGAGAATGCCTTTTGGCTATTTCCAATGACTTTATCATTTTGCTGGATCAGGAGGCCAGGTCGGTCGTGTTTAACTGTGCCACACGAGATGTTATTGGTTGGTCGACAGGAAGCCCCGCCTCTCTGAAAATCTACTATGAACGTGGGGAGAGTGTGTCACTACGGTCCATCAATAACAATACAGAAGACTTTGGAGAGGTGGTCAAAAGGCTGGAGGTCAGTGGAGCTCTTTATCAGACACTTTCACATTGTATGCTGTAATAAGAGGTCAGCCTTGTGTTTGCAAATGTTTAAACATTCATGCCCACTTTGCCCATCTAAAATAATCTATACTTCTCTTACTTGACAAAAACATAAATATGCCATTCAAGGATTATGTAATGTGAAACTAAAGCATATGCCACAGCAATTAAGTCCTTATTGTAGGCCTGGCCGAGCATAAGGGGTAGCACTTTACTCAAGTGATATCAGGTTTTTAAGGTTGTGTAGGTGTAGCTTACTTTTGGATGCTGTGATTACATAAATGTTTATTAGAGGTAGCAATGACTCACATTCTCTTGTTTGTAGGAGTGTAGTATATTTTCAGGAGTGTATTTTTTTCTTGACCAATGCTCTGTTGGTGGGCTGTGCTATTTACAACCCCAGTGCAATGTCTCCATTCTTATGGAGGACCAAAAATGACTAAAGTATAAATAAATAAATAAATAAATACAGGAATATATTAATAAATACATTCATTTTGGACAATAAAAACTAAATATTTACATTGATGTGTTAAATATTACTATGAAATCAAATAAATATACTTTAGGTTATTTATCAAAATCTACATTTTTTCCTTTATTTATTTATCCATTTATTGCATATATTTATTTATGTATTTCTACATTTCTTCATGTATTTATTTATGTATTTCTACATTTCTTCATTTATTTATTTATGTATTTCTACATTTCTTCATTTATTTATGTATTTCTGTGTCGCTACATTTCTTCATTTATTTATTTATGTATTTCTACATTTCTTCATTTATTTATTTATGTATTTCTACATTTCTTCATTTATTTATTTATGTATTTCTGTGTTGCCGTATGCTAATTAGGCGGGCGGTGCTGAACTCAATCTAGAACAGGATTGGTGGGCAGTAGGTCAGCCAGGGCAACCAGACAGAAGCAAAGTTAAGCCTAGCGTACATCGACAGAGAAACTGGAGACAAGTTGCAAGGCGGCTTTTGGCAACTGAGAGGAGATGATGGAGATGATTAGTTGAAATCGGTCGATGTGCGCGCTCTTACAACTGGAGATGAACAGTCGGTCTCCAGTTTCAGTCAGTTGCCCGTGTTCTACTTTTTGGCAACTAGTTGTCCTCAGTTTTGGAGATATGACCCGATGTGCGCGCTCCATGCGCCGCTCCGACAACGTGTGTGTATTGCGTGTATTGCGCGCCCGCAACAGTTTATGTCAGAAAACACACTGTAGTTGAGGCCAGTTGCTGTCGATGTACGCGCTGTTATTCCCGAGACTGGTCTGCTACTGGGAGTTGCCCGTTTTCGTCAGATTGTCCATGTGTGCGGGGCAGCAACTCATATGCGACGGATATAATCAGTTGCCAGTCCGATGTACGCTAAGCTTTAGCCTTCTCGGTTTGTGAGAGGATGTGAAGCTGCTGCTTGTTGAAGAGCGTCCAGCACAGTTGCATCAAAGTCTACCTCTGGGTCAGCACTGTGATGAACTAAAACATTTAATAGTCTTTCCAGCCGAAAGAGTAGATAGTCCTCAGGTGCATTATGCTCAACATCATTAACATCATTTGCTAATGCTCTTAATTGATGAGCAATTGTTCCTAAAAAACTTACATTCGAAACTGCCATCATACCACACAAAAGTGCACAGAGGATCTCTAGCTAGCTAACAGAGTACCGTAATGTGAGGCAGGAATGATCGAGACCAGAGTTCACGCAATCCTAACCAATCCTGTTCTAGATTGAGTTCAGCACCGCCCACCTAATTAGCATACAGGAACACAAAAATACATAAATAAATAAATGAAGAAATGTAGCGACACAGAAATTCATAAATAAATAAATGAAGAAATGTAGAAATACATAAATAAATAAATGAAGAAATGTAGCGACACAGAAATACATAAATAAATAAATGAAGAAATGTAGAAATACATAAATAAATAAATGAAGAAATGTAGAAATACATAAATAAATATATGCAATAAATGGATAAATAAATAAAGGAAAAAAATGTAGATTTTGATAAATAACCTAAATAAAAGTATATTTATTTGATTTCATAGTAATATTTAACACATCAATGTAAATATTTAGTTTTTATTGTCCAAAATGAATGTATTTATTAATATACTCCTGTATTTATTTATTTATTTATACTTTAGTCATTTTTGGTCCTCCATACATTCTACAATGCGTACATTCATGTTGTTATTGATTTTATTATAATATATCTGTACTTTTCTGTTTCTGCAGCTTCTGACCAAGGGTAGCCAAACTACTGAGATGACATTGCGTCGTAATGCACTGGGTCAACTGGGTTTTCATGTCAATTTTGAGGGCATTGTTGCAGAGGTGGAGCCATATGGGTATGCGTGGCAGGCTGGTCTCCGACAGGGCAGTAGACTGGTTGAGATCTGCAAAGTGGCAGTTGCCTCTCTGTCCCATGAGCAGATGATCGACCTGCTGCGCACCTCTGTCACTGTCAAAGTAGTCATTATCCCCCCACACGAGGACTCTACACCACGCAGGTAAACGACAAGTCCTCATTATCACATTTAACCAAGGTTGTTGTTGTTACATTTTTTAAATTTAGATCCCCATTAGCTACTGAAATATACAGTAGCTATTCTTTCTGGGGTCTTCAAACTCATCAATGTCACAAGAATGAATGTACAAACAAAAAAATATGCTTTAACAAAAATACAGAAATGTTATAACTAGTGCTGTCCAAAATATCGCGTTATTAACGCGTTAACGCAAATCAATATTAACGGCGTCATTTTTTATCGCAAAATAAAAAATAAAAAAACAGAAAAAAAAAATAGAAACAAAGAAAAGGACTAGTTCAGATACATTGTAGACAGAGATTACAAACAATATGTAGTTGGAGATACAGGGGGCCAAAGAAGAAACCCAGAAGGGCACATAGGAGGGGGGGGGGGGACATGAAGTGGGAGATGGGGGGGAGGGGTTAATAAAAAAGGCAATACAAGCAAACAGTATACAGTCATAGATATACCAAAAGTAAACAGAGAAACAGCATAGAGTATTTACATGAACAAATTTACAAAATATTTAAAAAAGCAATTGCACACAGCACGCCTATTCACTTTTTAGTAGTATTAAAAAGATAATTCAAGGGACATAAAGAATAGATACAAATGTGTGACTAATTTGCGATTAATCGCGAGTTAACTATGAAATTCATGCGATTAATCGCGATTAAATATTTTAATCGTTGGACAGCACTAGTTATAACCAAATACACAGTAACCATATACACACGCACGTACGCACACACAAACACACACACATGGTAACCTTAAAGCTGCACTAACTGACTTTGGGATTTTGAAGCAGCAGACTCGCTGGCCTCTCTCTTTCTGCTCCCCTCCCCGCACCCACGAAGCTATCGCCCCCACACACACCCACTGTTGGGACGAAGCTAGTGTCTCCCAATATGGATAATACATGGACATGGATTTGCACGTGGATGGCGTGACCATAGAACGATAGAACCGGGAAGCGCGGAGGAACGAGACTTTCTTTTGGATGGCTGTCTCGCTGTGTAAGCAGTAACCGGTGACGCAGACGAGGAAGTTTCAGGTTAGCTCCTCGGCTTGTTGTCTATGCTAACGGACCTCTAGATTTCTCACAAAAGTGGGGGCCAGTGGTCCGCGGTGATTGGTCACAATCTGCGACCCGAAACACATTCTCTTCCTTGTTTCATCAAAACTCGATCTAAAATATAATGTCACGCCAGCACAAATCTGCGCTACTTTTTCGTCAAAAGGACGTATATCCCAATGCACTGCATGGACATGGATAGCATTTTTGTAATGAATACAAAAATAAAGTCAGTTAGTGCAGCTTTAATAGCAGCAAAAATAAATAAGTTAGTTTAGTCATACCCACACTACATTGTAAAAATGTATCTGTCCAAATACGTTATACTGTAATACTACTAAAACTTAAAATAAATACCACTCAAAAACACATTCTTCTGTGAAAAGGAAAACTGTGAATCTTTTATGAAAATTGAGTACATTCATCCCAACTACGAGAAAATGTATGTTCATATATGAATACATTGTCTTTCTCACAGAGGATGCTCAGAGATTTACCACATGCCACTAGTGGACTACAAGAATCACAAAGAGGGCATGCCATACGAGTTAAAATTCCCTTTCCGCCCTCCGAACAACAACAACAACACAAAGTGGCCTCGCACCACCTCCTCCAGCCCGCAGACCCGCTCCTCTGCTTCAGCCGCCACACTCATCAAAGCTCCGCCTCCCGAATTCAGCAACTCTGCCGTCATGCCTCGCAGTGTGTCCAGTGATGGCAGACTCCACCCCAAAAGGTTCTCTTCTTTTGTTGGATTTAAGTCAGGACTCTCTGAAACTATGGTGTAAATGTCAAGCCAAATTCAAAATGAATTGGAGCTGATTAGGGGGCTAAGGCTTCATTCATATATGATCTGACTCAACTTTTATACCATTGTTTGCTTATTCTTTTGCATTTATATATATTTTTTCTTCTACATATTTTATTACTATTTGTATATATTTGGACCAAAGCATTACTACTATTCAAAACTAGTTTTATTGGTGGATTATTGTAAACAGAAAGCTTATAGTTATAGTCTGATTAAACCAAGACTAGATCAGAAGTAAGGAAGTTTTGGTTTCAATGTTCAAAATAAATGAAATTACATGGTTGTTTTCTTTTAATAATAAGTTTTAAAATGATGTATAATTTTTACTATTAATAATCGATAATGGTGTGTGCAAGTGAAGGGCCTTATCAGTTCTTTCCTTTTTTATTCACTTGCTTCCTCGAAGATATTCTCCCGGGAATGACAACTACGCCATGGCTTGTTCCATTGTGATGGGCCGCACTGTGCAGAACACCAACTCTCCTTCTAACATATCCTACAACGACAGCGTGAGCTCCAACCACTGGAAGCAAAAACCAGCTCCAGACGGGTGAGACCATAGACATATACTTGTAACTAAAACCAATTATTAATTACTTTTAGACCAGAGGTGTCCAAACTTTTAATAAGAGGGCCACTTTAGTTCACCAGATTTGTAGCCGATTACCCCGATTTTATAACCGTTTTCACCAGATTTGAGCTGTTCTGGACTTTAGAGTGATATGATACTTGCATATCGATTTACATTTAACATAAATTAAGTTTACTAGTGTGAACTATCTCACCACAGCTTCATTAGTGATGTATATGGAATTTCCTTGCAATTAATCATTATTTATATGTATATTTATTATTTATACAAATTTTGACTTGTGGCACAATCAAAAACAAAGACCTGGTTTAGACATATATATATATATATTTTTTTTAGATTCAACAACAACAACTGCCAGTCTACTGTGCCATCCTCTCGACAAGTGTCAGGCGAGGGGATCAACGGAGTCAAAGGGTGCTCTGGTGTTGCTTGGACACGACAGGGAGAGGTGGAGACTGGTCGGCTACTAGACAAAAACACTGGGGGTGAGTGTCACTGTTAATGATTTATATGTTTATCTGATGCTTTAAATTGGAAATTGTTTCTACAGAACCAGTGATTACAAATCGACCCATTTCCAGGCTTCAGTCTGAGCATGGATGCCACATGTCTCCCAACAAAAACATTAAGGTGAGTTCTTCATAAAGATGAACCACAATGGGATTGATTAAAAATACTTTTGTGAACACATTTTTATTTAATTTATTGAATTTATTTATCATTATCGAATAAAACCTCTTCTCTTAACAAGTTATATTTCTTCATTTACTGATAATTTGACTGTTGAAAAGTAAAATAAAGGACAAGGAAATTCTCACGCATAATCTCACTGTGCTGAAAACTCAGATAAAACTGGACTTTCCTTTTCTATGGTCGGATGTTTTATACTTTTACTCTTTTATTTCTAAACTTGTTCTTGAGCGCTAAACTTTGATTTGCATAATACGCAACAAGATCATTTTCTGGTTGTAAAGGACATAATCTAAATGATTTAAGTCTTAATGATTTGCTAATTGTGGTCACTAAAATGTGTAGACTCTGATTGGATTAATCATGCAGCCCTAGTGAGCAATGGCTTTGTCTTGTTGTAAAAACGGTATCATGAAAATGTATCGTCAACCAAAAGTAATGAACAAAAGTTTGAACAAAAGTGAGGTTCCTTCATTGAACATTGTATCACTGTCAACTCTGCCTTTCGGATTTACACCGCCCTCCTCCCCCTCCATGTATTTTATTATTTGTATTATTATAATCATTATTATTATTATTTAGTGCCTCATTTTTGTTCTTGTCTTTCCTTTATTAACATTAAATCTATTTTTATTTGTATGACGTGAATGTTTGCTAAATTGGCAATCTCATGTTTTTATCTAATGTTGCGTGGGGTTTGGAAAAAAATTAGAAATCTAACTGAGGACATGTTATAATCTGTAAATGTGTGTTTTGTCCAACAGGATGGTCCATATTCCTCTAGCCAATCCAGCAGTAACACACTGTCAAGCAACGCCTCCAGCTCGACCCACAGTGACGAGAAGTGGTACGAGGCGGGCTCGCGCTCAGGTGTGCGAGGAGAACTGGAGCTCAACAGCTTTCTGCAGGGAGCCTCCACTGACAGCGGCATCGACGCCACCTCCTTCACGGCCACACAGAGCAGCACCGCATCCTCCAACGGCGGCTTCAGGACCAAAGAGAAATCTCCCTGGCCGGACGAGGCGACAGACAACAGTGACGCGTCCCCTCCGCTTGAGTCTCTGCTCACGGTCGGAGGCAACGAAACCCAGGCCAAAAGTCCTTCACCGTTCTCCCAACATCCGGATGCATACAATCTGAATGATGCCTCCACTCTGCCCAGGTGTGCTTCTATGGAATTCTGTCTCTGGAATTTCTGACTTTTATATTGATGTGAAATAGACTGTGATTTTTAATTGTATTCTAGATATTTTCTATTCTCAACTAGATGGAGAACTTTTTTCCAAATTATTATTGCAAGAACATACACAACATGAAAAACCAAAGGTGAAACAAACAAGAACACAATAAAATAATAATTAAAAAAAACAATAAAAGTAAAAAAAGTAGAATATTGTTTCTTCTGTTATTCAACTTACCATGTGAAGCTATTATCTGACAGACGTAGTACACGCAAAGTGAGATATATCTATAAAACATTTCAGAAAATAAGTGTTCGGGATTTTCAAAATAGACTATAAGCCAAAATAATCAATATTTAAACCAACAGTAGCATATCTCTCAATGCATGAGTCTATGCCATATACTGGTGATGATATTTGGAACGATATCCTATTTTTCTGAGATTCCCCTGTACACTCAACCTCCCGCACAGATAGAGTACTTTGTTGCACTGTGTTTCTGAAATGTACAAAGACTAGAAAGATGATATTTGTGGAACACCTATATGTGGTCTGTTTTCTTCATTGGTATTCATGACAATGTCTTTTCGAAGTGGCATTTCCTTTGGATGAACTGAAGCTTTTGCTCTCTCTTTTTACGCATCTAGAGTACACCTGTACATAAGCGTCACTCCGATAGGTTTAAACATTCAGACACCAGTATATATGGCATAGGGGTGTGCTAGTTTTAGAAATCTTGATAGTTTATTATTCTTTTTTTATTTAGTTATGGATTTTTACCCCCTTTTTTCAGATGAGTAAAAATATATATAAAACATTTTTGATATATTGACTTTAATAACAATTGATCTTCCATAAATGACATTTGAATGCATCTATAGTGTTATATTTTTGTTTAAATAGACGTCAGATAAGGGGCCAAAAGCTAATTGTATTTCTGAGTCGTAGAGATATGTATTGTATTGTGTCATGCATATCGAAATAAGTATTGTATAGGCTGGCTCTGAAAGATACCCAGCCTGAATATTGCATGTTTTAAGAAGTTCTAAAAATGAGTGCATGGGCAAATTCTCTTATATTGAGGATACCCACTTTTGGCATACAAAGCGGATTCAGCAGGCCATGTTTCGAAGGATATGTGGGGGTTGTGCGTCGTATCATGGTCTCCTCCTTTGAAGCTCGCTAATCTCCACTGCGAATTGCTCTGACATTTACATAAATATCAAAGTGTTTTGTTTTAGCGTCTTCCAAATTCCCATGTCTCTCACTATGTCTCCAGCCACAGCCCTTTAAGCCAAGTCAGCAGGTCCATGTCCCCCGAGGAGGAGCCAACATCTCCTACATCTCCCGGAACAAAGAGCTTCTACCCACGTCAGGGAGCAACTTCCAAGTATCTGATTGGCTGGAGGAAACCCGGTGGAACTGTCAACTCTGTGGACTTTGGCAGCACGAGGAAGTAAGTTACAGAGAATGTGAGAAACAAGGCAGCTGTGCATTAGGCAAAGATTGATGTTTAGGGGGGATGTTCAGCTCTGCGGGAGAACACAAACACGAGAACACAGCTGTTGGTTCTGCTGATGCTGAGAGAAAAACATGCAAGGATATGGCATTGTTAAATATTGTCTGGGATACTGGCTAGGGTTTAATATTTTTCCCGAAAATGAGACGTATCAAATCCCGGGAAAAGACGACGCCTTTCCCGGGAAATCCCGGGAAATAGCTGTTGTTTTTAGCCCAAGTAATGTATGATATCACTCAAATATATAATCCAACAAAAGCTGCCATCTCCACTAGTGTTTCACCAAGTGACTTGCTAGCTTTGCTAAAGTAGCCATAGCGTTTTCAGATGTTTTGTTGATGGGCTTTCTTCAGGAATTTCACTATTATGAGATTCTAAATGTCTGCGCAATCCACTTGTCGAAAAGTGACGTGCGGTGTGGTTTGGAGGCACTGACTTCAGCCCTGTCAGATGAACATATATCATATAAATCAACAGAACCTACAGAGCGGCTTATTCACAATTAGTTTGGCTACAGCAGAATGTGTTCCATGGCCCGCATTGTTTGCTCAAACAAAACGCAAAAGTTCGTAAAAGGCACATTTCCAATTGTGTTATGGGTCTTACCTTAGTTATTAATGAACAGCACAGACCACTTCAGTTCAGACCAGTTTCATGTTTAAGTCCAGATAATAGTTTGAGCGCAGATATGTAATCCCCCATTTGGAAATAAGCCCAAAGAGTTTTAAAGCGTAAAACAAAACGGGTGCCACCTCCATAAACTTCTCTGTGTTTTCGCTGCAGCCGACTCTCGGGCGCATCCAATTTCTAATATCAACCTTCTTACCCTTCTCCTCTCTTCCTTATCATTCCTATCGTCATTGTAAGCAGAACATTACCCTAAATGCATTTTATATGATTTTAAAATGTGTTATATGTATGTTAGCCAAACCTGTTGCTGCCCTTAGCAGATGGAAAAAAAGAAAGGAGCTTTCTGATAGAATTGGACGTAACCAAATTCTGGGCTCACATGCGCCCCGTACCCTGAGCCTGGCCTCATTACAAGTCGTGGTTTAGCGCGATTAAGACCCATATTTGTTGTCAAAAACACAATTTAGGAGCCATCCTCTCAGCTGTAGACATGTTGATTGTAAATGAAATATGTTTGAACTTTGAACAACAATAAACGTGCTTTATAATAGGAGCGCACTGTATTTTTTTTTTACTTTCATTTCCCGTTTCCCGTCATAACATTTCCCGGGAATCGGGAAATAGTTTTCATCAGATTTCCCGGGATTCCCGTATCCCGGGATTAAACCCTAATACTGGCTGTACAACTTAACAAACACTGCCATCATGTGGTCAATGACAGTAGTGGTTATTCCCTTACATATATATGTACTGTTGCCGTTTAAACAAATACAAGGCCTTGATGTATTTTCATTTTGAATTACATCGACTTGTGTTTGATTCATCCTTTAAATTCACAAACAAAAACTAGCACCACACATATTTAAAACCAGGTATAATGTAACCCGATGCAGTTTAACTACAAATGACAAATAAATTAATCTGAACCTGAATCTGAAACTGACAAACATGTAATATGCAATAAAGAAGGTTTAAAGTTTGTAGCTAAACCCCAGCAGGTGCAGTGTACCAGTTATCAGTGCTTAGGCGCTACATGTGTCACAGACAGGAAGATTCTGCCAACAAAAATGTGATAGGAGTTGTCATTAATGTATTAGACCAGTAAGAGCATTTACATACAATTCCTTTAATTAGGATTGTCGCTTCTTGCAAATGCCTTGAATTTGTGACTCAACAATATATTTTTTTTCTCCAAGACGGCATCAGAGTGACGGGCCTTTGGCCGGTCAGCCACAGCTCAGGGCAAATCTTCGTGGAGCTCAGTCCCCACAAAGACATGCTGCCAAGTCGAGCTTGGAAGAAGATTTAAAGAAGCTCATCACACTGGACAGCCCTCCTCCTGTGTCGAGTGAAGAGCAGGTAGAAGTTGGCCATCATTGTGAAGCAACAAGTGATTTCTATCGGCTCAATAAACACGTGAATTTTGTTTTTTCCCTGAAGCACACGTTCCCTTGCCCCACCCCCGGCCGCCGCTCCCTTCAAAGAACAGTATCAGATGAGAGCATATACAGTGGGCAGAGAGAGGCGTCCTCTGGTGCACAGAGGGAAACTCCCACTGACCTTCTGTTCAGCAGCTCCACAATGCCATGCTCACCCACCGCCCGAAACGGCAGGCGGCAGTCACACAAGTCAATGGGTAAAGCTGCAATTTAAAATGATGCTTTCATTTAACTTTGTCATTGTGACGTCATTTACAACATGGTTCGATTGTGTTCCTCCTCCAGGGGACCTATCATCCCCCAACAGCATGGAGTTTGAGCAGGACAAGAAGAATCAGACAGAGGATTCTGTCCTAATGCCCCTGCCTGACCCTGGGACAGATGCTCCACTGGACTGGGCCCACCTGGTGGACGCTGCTAAGGCCTTTGAGGGTAGACTATCACATAGATTTATGACATTTGAAGATGAGATAAAACTCTCAAACGGTCGGGAGGCTGAGCTGCAATAATGTTGAGATTAGACTTATTTTGTACACCACAAGATGGCACTGCAGGATAATCAATGTGCCAGTGATGACACATCTGAACTTTATGGATAATAAAAAAGCAAAACATTTGTATTACATAACAATTGTACTTTTTATCCAAACAGAACAGCGGTTAGTTTTCCTAGCAGCCCAAGAGGAGAGCACCCTGGCAGAGAATGTGGCGATCAGCAGCACCCCTCAACAGGCTGAACCTCAGGCTGCTCCTCTCAGACTGCCACCACCTGGGTAAGGGCTTGCTGGGTCACTGAGACCACCTGCTATAAAAATGACACAATTTATACATGCAATATAGAAGCACACATATGAAATGCCTGGAGTAGCTCTTCATTTACCCTTACTTCATTGCAAAAGATTACAAAATAATTAATAGCTTTAATCAAGTGTTTTTATCTTAATTTAAGTCCATTCTGGCTGTCTTAAAACAAGATTTGCCAATGGGACAAGCCATTTTGTCGTATATTCAGAATTGTTGCTTTTTTTCTCATTCCTAGAGAGACATTTCTTGTATCTTTTTAAAAGAAGATAGTTTTGCTTGTCCCATTGGCAAATCTTGTTTTAAGGCAGTCAAAATGTGTTCCAATTAAGATACCGTATTGTCAAATGTTAGCCTTTTTTTTTTATTCCATCACTGTAAGCGGTTTATAGCTCACGAATGACATTCCTAAAGTAGCTCTCTATTTACACTTACTAACTGTTTGTTTGCACTTACAGTAATATTAATGACAGTCCGGCGTGTCTCTTGGGAAAAGTGAACCAGCTGGAGTCTTTGGTGAAAACTCTTCAAGATGATCTCAAGAAGGTCAGAGCAGTCGTGATCTGAGCAGCTCTGTTTGTGTAAACAGGGACAGCATACTAACACTGTGCTGCTTTGTTATGCACCACAGGAGAAAGATGCAAAGGCATCCCTCCAGATGCAAGTCCAAAGCTTGCGAGAGGATAACCATCGTCTGCTCGAGGAGTCGTACAGTGCTTCTACCAAGCTCAAAAAGTTCACAGAATGGGTCTTCAACACCATTGACATGAACTAACAAATACCACAATAATGAGATGTCTGCTCAAACTGCTCTGGAACCTCAGTGTTAACTCGATATGGTCCATCATCAGCGACATGAGGTTTGGACAACATATGCTCTACTGCCATACGGTTTATTTTCGTGTGGTTTGAAAGTCTTTTTGGTGAATTAAGGCGAATGACTCCTGGCATGTAAAACAATTCCCTCACTGAGTCGCATACTGTCCTTCTTTAAACCCCCAGATAACCTAATTACAAGGTTATAAGCTAAGCCTCATTTCAGAAACAAATTAGAGTGGCTATAATTGTTGCACGAGTTGGAACATTAGTCTATGTCTAATTGGGAGACACTTTCTAAGATTTAACTGTCTATCTAAAGAAACGACGTCAAGCCAAGACTATGTTGATTGCTACCCTGACGATAAAGCTATAATACATATGAATTGGAGATGTCCATATACTGTGAGATCAGTCTGGCTGCACAGACAGACTCTTTAAATAGCACACACTTTACACCATGTAAAGCCAATAGCATCTGTCTGTATTTACTGTGTAAAGATTGTGCGAGCCTGTGAAAACTCAGAGGGTCAATGCAATGATGCAATTAAATTATATACAGAAGATATATATGTATACAACCTAATAGAGAATAACAGGTACCATGCAGAGTTCAAGATGTGTAAATAAAAAACATGGCTTATTTTCTCACCTCTGCCCTTTATTTTGTATGCAAAGATATTTATGATAAAATGGCCAATAAAAGTGTTACACTTATCTGCATGTAGACCATACCAAAATATGAATTAAGCCACGAACTAAACTAACATGAACTAACATGTAATTTGCTAAATGGAACTAATCCCTAGTTCTGTCCATAGCATGCTTTATGTTTGGATCATACGCTGCAGTTAATTCTACGTACTTGGTGAAATAAATATAAGCGGTGGCTACAGTACACTGTGTGACATTTCATAGCCTGACTGTATTTGTTTTTTGTATCTACCATTTTTCATCAATGTTTTATACTGTGCAAATGTACACAGTAGATTTAATTATATAATTTTGCACCTTCGTTTTTATTTTGTAAGATTATTTTTGATGCTTTGTAGTCTGCAATGTAGTGAGAGGAGTGAACGCAAAAGAATAGAGGGATGATATGGGACTAGTCCATGAGCTGGACTCAGAAATGAGTCTTTGAGCTGTATGCTATTTTAATGTGTTTCCATTGAGCTGTGATGTGTACAAATGTTTATAAATATTAAATAAATTTGTTGGACTTCATATTCACAATGGGTTATTATTTCCAATGATGCCTGTTTTGATTAAGAGAGTTTTGCCAATTTACCCCACATATGTGGACATAGTAATAACTGTTATTAACTGCTGCTGTTTTAAACTGTAGATGTAAAAGTACATGCAAACAAATATTATGTAATCTACAGAATAAACAATGTTTTATGACATCTGTAGCATAAAGTCAGTTTACTGTGTTTGCATTACAGAGATTAATACGGTCTGTCACGTTGTTTTAATGACTTCTTAATACATGAAGATACTGTTTAAAAGCGTTTTAATCATGGGTCTATTAGGTTTTAACGTGTGTGCTATCCTCAATGCATTACACCCACTGGAGTTAAAATAAAAAACGCTGTGAATTACATGTGAGTAGTTATTTAAACAAATGTGTGGTGCTATTTTTTGTTTGAGAAGGATGTATGACAAAAAAATATGAAGCAAAAACCAAAGAAATTTCACTTTACAAACTGGCAAACTAAATGAGGCTCATTCTGCTCTCTGATTGGATAATCTCATTGAGGACCGCAAACGTGTGTACATCATCGTATTTATTGTATTTTAATTATGTATTTTAATAACTCCAGTCTAAATTTTTGTTCAAAAAAGGTAAACGTTATTTGCACATGTTGAACTATGGAGCTGTAAAGTGACCGCTCTTCAAGTTTCCTGATAAGTCTTGGCTACCTAGCTAACTAGTTAACCCTAGCTACCTAGCCACCTGCTAACTTTTCGAACAACATAAAACACATTTTACTTAACTCTGCGGTTTTATGGTCACTGTTCAGCACATAGTTTTTATGTATTTACTTTGTACACAATTTTGATATTTTATAAGAGATACTTTTTCTCATTTTTATTTACTTTTTGAACCCTTAAACTCCGCCCACTTCACAGTTTCATAGTCTGGGGACACATAGATGTGGATTTAATTTAAATGAAAATACTACATTTAATGCCTTTATGTTTTGCTAAAAGTAGGAAAAGCTGAATCCTGATACAGTTGACCCACATCTGGTTTCATAACTCTATAACCTGTGTCGCCCCAGTTTCCCATGGTAACTACTGAGAACAGCCATTTTTCCATTGTTCAAAATGCTCTGGGGTCTACTTTGTTCTATCTAAAAAACAAGTCCTTCTAATAATTCAATACACAACCTCGCTTAGTTCACATCAGACAGGAAATGTTTTATCATGACCTGTACCTTCTGTTGGGACACGTTCACACAACACCAAACAGGTACAGGCTGCAGATCCAGGAGATGCAGAGAGTAGAGTGGCCCACTGAAGAGATGTGAGCAAGATGTGTCTTTGATAACTGGTGAACTGGTTCTGTCAACACCAACAGCTGTGCGTGCCTGGCCATGTGTGTCTATGTGTGTATGTGCTCACAGTGCACGCATGCGTTCACAAATTGGCCCTGCTGTGTATTTGTGGAGCATCTTCCTTGGGGGCTTTAGGGATCTCATTTACCGTATCCAGAAAAGGTCCATTTGTTCGGAAACTGTCATTTAAGCTTGAATGATTCTATACTTGTTTTATTTGAAGGAAGAGAGAGCCTGCCATGTTCCTTTACAACATGAAGTAATGGATTCGTTCACACGCGTGCTTGCTGTACATGCAAATGGACAAAGCTTGTTCCTTCAGAGAGGGATATTTTTAGCCTCTATCTTTGTGTCCAGACTCTATCATATTTTTGCATTAGCATTTCAATATTGTCCTAATGAAGCGTTTCTTATTTTCAGGATAAGAGGATGCTGCTGCAGTGTGCTACCCTCCCCGTGTCCTGCTTTCTCCACAGATACATGCTCTCCTTTATACTCTCTAATTCCTTCATCCCTCCCCTTGGTTTCCAACTTGCTATTACACAGCATCTCCCTCTCTCTCTCTCCTCACTCTCTCTTCGGCTGGAGCGCATGCACACAACGCGAAGGGGGGTAGGTTGGGTTTTCAGACGACATGTGAGGAGGATCTCCTCAACTGCTGGGGCCGGCCAGGACTTTTGAGGAAGAAGAGGAGGAGGAATAGGCATACTGCAGTGACTGTCTCTCCTGCTGCCGCTTCACTGCATCCGTCCTCACTGTCTTCATTCTGCCTTCTTCTTTTCCTCCACTTCTGTCAATTACACCATGGACCTGCCTGCTTGTTGCTAAGGGGGAGTCAGCCGTGCAAAGTGCAGCCGTGGGGAGCACACACAGCGCCGCGTGGAGTGGACGCACCGTACATTTGGTTGATAAGGTAATAAGTAAATGCAGAGACGGCGAGGTTGCATGGTATGAATGAATGAATGCATGTTTTTATTTCTTACAACAACAGTAAACAGGATACAAGAACAGCAATGCAGTTTGAAAAGGGGTTAGACGTAGCAGACTCCAACCCCTGTTATTCACACAACACAAGACACACACACACACAGACAAGACACAGGTTCAAACACTCTCTGACCTTACACCTGTCTCACAACTACTCTCATCACTCTTTCCTTCACATACTTCAGTGCTTGTGTTTTAATATTTGAACCTAATCATATTTGAACCATTTGCTAATTCATTCCAAGTAGTATTTCCACGGACTGAGACACAACTTGATTTTTAAAGTCGTCCAAAAATAAGCACCAAATTTTTCTGCTGAAGTGTATCAAAGTTGAACTAGGACTCAATAATTTCCACTGGACCCTTTTCGAGTTTTAAGGGCTTTCAATGTATATGAAGCTGTGTTATTAAGGACAGTCAGCTATACATATTACAGGGCTGTATTTGGAGACACTTTATCATCTCACAGACAGGCCCTTATCACTCATGGCTTCATCCACTGGGGACCTATTGTTCTTTTCAAGCAGGTGCTATGCAATCCATAACACCTGTCTATCTGCATGCCCCTGAGATGCACACTACAAAGATTAGCTTCCTAATGGCTCCTAAAAGAGCATCTCAGCATTGGCCCATGGGCAGTGCCTTCTTTTCTGCTACACAACAAACATTGAAGTGGGAGCAGGTGATTATACTTCTAACCTCATAAATATCACTACGCTTACACTGAGAAATATAGTTCAGTGTAAGATGAACAAGCCACACACACACACACACAATCTCACACACACAGACTTCCTGTTGCTATCCGTACACTAGAATCAGCACTTGTTAAAAACTTGCAGACTTGCATAATTCACAGAAGCCTTTGCCTTGGGTATCCCTATGGTAAGATGCACAGTTACTAATTGAATAAATGTATGAGGATTTTAAACCAATTCTGCAGAAAATCCATTTAAAATTCTATTCATTCTATTGATGTCTGGTAGTACAAATAGAAATGCAGTTACAGTAGTCAGTGTAAGCCTAGTCAAAAGGTCATGGGAATTGTTTAACCTGTTTAAATGGCTAAGAGCCCTCAGTGGCAAAGGGTAGAGCACGCTGAAGGGGCTAGAGAGGTTGGCAACTGACAGAATGTAAATCCTTATCAAACAGTATTAAATCTCTTGTGAGAATGTAAGAGAGATGGGAAAATGCAAGCTGTAAAACAGAGGTTGAAGGGTAGTGTGTTGTACTAGATATTGTGAAACAAACGATATCTGGTACAATACTAAAGTGAAACTGAATATGTCACTGACACAGTTACAATAAAGCAGGATATTTCCAGCAACCCTTGTATGAATCGTCTTGACCATTGAATGGTCTGAGCTGAAATAACTAGCTACAAAAGCAATGGAGAAAATGTGTTGGTACA